CTTTTTATTATGCTCTATTTTATCACTGGCTGGCCTGGAACTCACTGTTTGGACCAACTTGAACTCAAACTCACAGAGATCCAGGAGTCATTTCTCTTTCCATCATGTGGGAACAAAGACAGGTTATCAGTCTAGGAAGCAAGCGCCTTTACCCGAGGGGCCATCTCAATGGCACTCACTTTCCTTATTCTCTACTGAAATCCCATCACATCTGACTCTTGCAATGCATCACTTATGAAGTGTTGCTTAGTTTGCTTGCACGGGAGTGACCACGGAAGATGGGCTGAAGGTAAGCACTCTGAGCCCTAGTCCAAGGATGCCTGAAGCAAGGAGAGCATCTCATTCTACAAACTCAAAGACCAGTGGCCAAACCATGTGGCCAGGAACTATGTCCTGCAAGAGAAATGCTTCTTTCTAATCTGTCGTTGGAAACTTGTGGTACCTACATGTCTTGGAGACTTCAGAAGAACCTGACAGAACCAGCACTGTGACCCTTATTTTCTTTAGAAACTAAGGATGAGAGGGGAAACGAACTTCTTCAAACCCTACCTCTTACTCATCTCACCATCCTGTCTCTTGAGGACAAAGAGACAAGAACATAGATCAGAAACCTTTTTTAGATCAGATTTCAATTCTACTAGATATAGGATATTTGTAGTAAATTTAGAAAACCCAGCTATAGTTGATAAGCTTGTGGAATGAGTTGCAGCTAGCTACTGCTATTTCAGTGACAAAATTGCAGGCAAGGTAAAACTCAATAAAAAATCTGTTATAAAAAAATCTGTTATATATTTTTTTCGAGTCTCCATATATCTGAACATACAGACCTTGTTTCTCTATGGACCTTTGTTGCTGGCTAATGGTCTACTGAGATTGTTATCCATATAAACCACTAAGATAGAAAACACATTAACTTAATTAGTTTCACTTTGTAATTGAAATTATCTACTTCTACTCAGGGAAAGCAAAATGTATACATCCCCACACTACTATTCCTGCTTGATTTTCTCCCTTGTTCTTGGAAAAGATAAACTGTCTAAGAGCAGCAAGAAAATTAAGGCACTATCTTGGTAAGATGGTCTTGGGGAAACTATCACTTAAGATCCTACATAAACTACAATGTGAGACCTAGCCCTACTCTGGAAAGCAGAAATGCTACCTACTTTTTCAACTCCATCACCATTTAAATCTTCAAGTACAGTAACTCAGCTGCTGCTCTGAGAAATGGTGTGAGAGATGCTCATGTAGCATTTATGTTGGGCCAAGCCCTGTCCTCAGCACTTGCATGTAAGTCATTCCATCGTTCCAATAACCTACATAGGACATAGGTTCTCGTGTTATTTTAGAAAGATGCCATAAGTCTTTAAGAGCAACACTAGACTTCAGGACAAGTTCTTAATCTATACTTTTGGACATTGGGGCAATACTCCTTAAAACTCTCAAGTGGACAGATGGTTAATGCTGATCACTGTTGTAACAGTGATCATTTGAAGATGTGTAACCTGATGGAGCCGGGTGTATAGCCCAGTGGTTGAGCACTTGCCTTGGCATCCTTAAGACTCTGGGTTCAAATTCAACAACAACAAAAAAAAAACCCAGCATGTAATTGGCCGGGCAGTGGTGGCGCACGCCTTTAATCCCAGCACTCGGGAGGCAGAAGCAGGCGGATCTCTGTGAGTTTGAGGACAGGCTGGACCGACAGCCTCCAAAAATACAGAGAAACCCTGTCTCGTAAAACCAAAAAAAAAAAATTGGAAATATTAAACAAAACACATCATGGCACCAGAAGTGTAGCACATTTTTAAAGACAATATCAAAACCACAGAAACAGTTTCTGATTATTGAATGTTCTGTGGTCTCTGAAGCATTGTACTGAACAACAGAGATGGGGATTTTCTTCTTGCTTTAATTAAGTAACCATGTTGTACTGTATGAATTAACTCCTCTAACTGTAGCTGTACCAGGAGCACTCCAAATTCACCATATACCAGTCTCCAGAGCTAAATGACCACTTATCGGACTTAGTCATTTGAGTAATCTCCCTGTAACATGCTTTACAGGACTTCACGGCACTTTATGAGTCATAAATGCTACAACCTCTAAGGTCCTTTCCACTTCTATACTTGAGTGGTTTTCTGTCCTAACCTGATAGCTTGAAAGCAGAAACCTGCATTTAAAATTCATCAATTTTAACTGCTTCAAAATCTACCATGTAGCGTAACTTCACAGCTTCCTGGATCTGCATGCTTTCAAAATACAGCCATGTTAGGTTTGGCACATAAAGTTCAAATAACAACCTGCTGGTTCAGTGTTGGGGAGTCAGATATTATGAAGGAGAAGCGATAAAGGGAACCTGTTTATTTTTCTTCCATAGAACACCTGGCCAGCCAACGTAGGGTCACTTGACAAATTAGAATAAATGAGAGTGAAGGAGGTTCTGAAGAAAGCAAAGCCTGAGCATTTAGACGGGCACTGCAGGGGAAGAAGGGCGGCTCTTAAAAGGCTGGCCCCAAGTCACTGCCAGGCCAGCAGAGACTATGACCTTCACAGATGCCCCGCTTGAGTTGCCCCATTTGACAGAGGTTGACGTCACTGTCACTCTAGCCAGGATAAGGCTTCCTTACTCTGCCTCCAAAGGCTATCTAAACTGACCACCAACAGAAAAAGGATTGCCTCAGGTAAGCTTTGATCTCCCCATCTTCCTGTGATCATCATCTCTTTCCAAAAACTAACAAGAACAGGAAGAGCCAGGCACAGTGTCCAGTGCCTGTAGTTCCAGCTTCAGCAGGCTGTGTGTGGGGGTTTGAGATCAACCTAGACATCAGAGCAGTTCCCCATCTCTAAATAAATAAGTGCATACATACATAAAAAATAAACAGATAATAGCTTGGATATGGAATATATGCCTGGCTAAAATAAAACAACAGACTGTCCTGTCAGTGAAAAGAGCAAACGCTCACCTAGGCAGAGATTAAGAGAACCTCCCTCTGTCATGGGACTAAATAGCAGAGGCAACATTCAAACCCAGGTAATCTAGCCCCTCACTCTTTTAATATGCCAAGACATAGCTACAACAGGCTAAATTCAGTGTATGCATTCCTCTATCTCCCTCCCTCCCTCCCTCCCTGTCTCTCTCTCCTCTCCCCCCCTCTCCTTCCCCCCTCTCTCCCCCATCTGCTCACTCATCCCCCTCATGTCCCCCAGCTGTGTGTGCCCTATGGATTGCCCACTGGGTTACTGAGAACTCCCTCACAGGACGACAGAATATGACGTCTTAACTCCACACCCTTTTAAACACTCCCACTCCAAGCTTCAGCTCATGATTAGTGAGGGCCTTCGGCTGCACAGAAAACTAATTCTGCTTGACTCGATCCTCACACCCTGCCAACGCATCGAGAAACAGCTGTCAGCTTAGGGAGAGCATAGCAGCCAAACAGGACATGCAGAGACACAACCTGAGGCAACTCCGCTGCCAACAGTAGCTTGGAGGAACCGCAGGAAGCATCACACACTGGAGCCAGATCTCGAAGGGAGTCCTCAGGACCGTGTATCAGAGCCAAGGGGCAGAATCACACACAGCGGGTGTGGGAGCCTCAGCCCAGGGCTGCTGAGCAGCTGAAGGAAGGCTGTGAGGGAAGGCTCCAGCATCACACAGCCGCATTCCAGAGAGCAGCGGGAAATACAGGATGTGGGAGAAAGAACACAGGCTAGGGCTCCCACTCTAGCTGGCTTCACGCCCCCTTCTCCTCCCTAGGGCCCTCATTTTGTGTGAGCACTTTAAGCTGGAAGTGGTATGCTGGGATTGAAGCTTGAAGGGTGGTTAATTAGCCAGGAAACATTGGCAGTTATCAATGGATGAGGAAATACGCAGGCAGACTACAGCAGTAACAATATTGCCAAACAGTAAAGGTTCAACTTGCCCCCGCCCCCGTGTCAATTCTCCTGTGCCAGTCCTGAGTCTTCCCAATGGATGTGATGGAGGATTTACTCCACCCATGCTGAAACTTCAACTATATATTAAAGATTATCTGAGCCCGAATTCTTTTTAAATATTTACCATTGTGTATTTCTGTGTATGTGTGAGTGTGTGTGTGTCTGTGTGTGTATATATGTGAGTGTGTGTATGTGTGTGAGTGTATGTGTGTATGTGTGAGTATCTGTGTATGTCCGAGTATGTGTCTGTGTGTGTATATGTGAGTGTGTGTGAGTGTGTGTATGTGTGAGTGTGTGTATGTGAGTGTGTATATGTGAGTGTGTGTATGTGTGTGTGCGAGTGTGTGTATGTGTGAGTGTGTGTATGTGAGTGTGTGTATATGTGAGTGTGTGTATGTGTGTGTGCGAGTGTGTGTATGTGTGTGTGTATGTGTGTATATGTGTGAGTGTGTGTATATGTGAGTGTGTATGTGTGAGTGTGTATATGTGTGAGTGTGTGTATGTGTGAGTGTGTGTGTCTATGTATGAGCATGTGTGTGTGTATGTGTGTGTGTGTGTGTGTGTTGACAGGTGCTTGTATGCAGATCACAGGACAGTTTGGAGGGAGTCAGTTCTCTCCTACATTATAACATTGTAACAGCTGAATGGCAAGCACTTTTACCCGCTGACCGTGTTCCCTACCCCTGAACATATCGGTAAACTGCCTGACTCAGAAGTGCAAATCAAAACAGCGGTGGTAGCATTTTATTTTAATTAGTTTTGGTGTTAGGGATTGAACAACCCCAAAGCTTAACTCATGCCAACCCTCTATAGCTCCAGACCCTGCGGTGTCACTTTATGGTGATTAAGTTCACAACAGCGGAAAACAGTTCACAGAGCAGTTATAAAATTCAGTATTGGGAAACATTTGAAGAACTCTATTCCTAGAGTACCATAGTTTGAGATGGTAGCTTTCCTTTAAGATAAGCAGAATAAGGGCTAAGAGTCCTAAAATGGCCATACCCTGGACACGACAGTAGTTATTAGAAATTTAGAGAAGATCATTTAAATGTATTTTTTCCAAAGTATCTTGTCACAACACCAATTGAAGTAAACAACACAACATGTTGCCACTTCACCTGAAAGTGGTGTTTTCACTCTGCCCCTTCTATTTTCACAGGACATGTATGTAATGTTATTTGTAAGAGCTCAAACTGGAAACCCAGGTAAAGCCACTAAGCAGGGGGCTGGAGAGATGGCTCAGAGGTTAAGCGCACCGGCTGCTCTTCCAGAGGTCCTAATTCAATTCCCAGCAACCACATGGTGGTTCTCAACCATCTGTAATGAGATGTGGTGCCCTCTACTGGCCTGCAGGCAGACATGTAGGCAAAACACTGTATACACAATAAACAAATCTTTTTAAAAGTAATAAATAAAGCCACTAAGCAGGAAAAGCAAAGAACACTTTGGCGCCTCCGTAAGAAAGTATTCAATGGCAAGTATATATGACGCATGAGTATATATTTTAATACTGTAAGCAGGAAGAAGCAGAAGGAAGTGCTAATAGGAGGAACTTGTAAGCAATGAACCTGAGAAAATGCGGAGGAGGAAGAGGTCTGACTTTGGGCAGAGTGTGGGGTGTGCAATGGAGGAAAGGAGACTGGGCTCCATCTGGGAGGGTGTTGACTGGCAGGATCAACATGGGTGAGGGTGGTATTTAAACACAAACTGCTACTCAAAGTACTGGAAAGCCTAAGAAATTTTGTGTTCGTTATTCTATCAAATGATCTAAGGCTTTTCCTTTGCAGGAGGTCCAGGGAGTAACCTCAAGGTACAGGCACTTGCTGCCAAGCCTGAAGGCCTGAGTTACATCCTAGGACTCACACAGTACAAGAAGAGAAAGGACCTCCACAAATTATCCTGACTTCCACTGGTGTGCTATGACACATGCACGTGTACATGTATACACACACACACACACACACACACACACACACACACACACACACACACGATGTAATTTTTTTCCCTTTGCTTGCTTAAGGGAGATAAATTGGAAGGCTGGGGAATGGGGTCCTTGGGAAGAAAGCGACCAAGGAGGAAAATGATTGGATTTCTCTGCTCTTCTAAGGCAACACGAGCATCTCTATAGCAGGAAACTGGTGCACAGTCCAGCAGCTCAGATGGAGCAGGCTCTGGACAGGGAATGGCAAGAATGGTCCTAGTTGTCGGGGGAAGTTGATGAAGTCAGGTCTCTGGGAAACTGATGCTCATATATTAAGACCAGGTACCTCTGACACCTCTGAAGAACCAGCCATATGTTATCTCAGATCAAAAGGGGAATGGTAAGTAGAGTCTGATAGAACATGGGGTGTAGAGGCACTTTGATGATTGGAAAATGCTGTATAATGCTTGCCCAGAAGATGTTATGGTATGGTCTGAAGGTGTTATGGTATGGTCTGAAATATCCACCAAAGGCTCATAAATTCGAGGCTTGGTCCCCAGTATAGCAGTATCTAGAGCTTGGGCTCTTGGGAAATGGTTGAATCATGATGGCTGTGATGTCATACATAGATTAATTTATTGATGGGCTTATAATTTGAAAGACTATAATGGACACTTAGGGGAACTAGTTGAAAAGATTATGTCCTTCAGGACTACACATTGTCCTTAGGCGCTCACTCTCTCCGTTTTCCAGGATGCTGTGAGGTAACCAGTCATGTTCTGCCATGCCCTCTCCATCATGCTTGGCCTCATGACAAACAACAGAGCCCAGGGGCAATGGATCTGAACCTCCAAAACCATTCACCAAAATAACGGCACCTTCCACAATAACACACTACAGCCTCACTCCACACAATAACACACTACAGCATCACTGTACACAAGTTAACACACTACAGCATCACTCCACACAATAACACACTACAGCCTCACTCCACACAATAACACACTACAGCATCACTGTACACAATAACACACTACAGCATCACTGTACACAAGTTAACACACTACAGCATCACTCCACACAATAACACACTACAGCATTACTCCACACAAGTTAACACACTATAGCCTCACTCCACACAATAACACACTACAGCATCACTGTACACAAGTTAACACACTACAGCATCACTGTACACAATAACACACTACAGCCTCACTCCACACAATAACACACTACAGCCTCACTCCACACAATAACACACTACAGCCTCACTCCACACAATAACACACTACAGCCTCACTCCACACAATAACACACTACAGCATCACTGTACACAAGTTAACACACTACAGCATCACTCCACACAAGTTAACACACTACAGCATTACTCCACACAAGTTAACACACTATAGCCTCACTCCACACAATAACACACTACAGCATCACTGTACACAAGTTAACACACTACAGCATCACTGTACACAATAACACACTACAGCCTCACTCCACACAATAACACACTACAGCCTCACTCCACACAATAACACACTACAGCCTCACTCCACACAATAACACACTACAGCATCACTGTACACAAGTTAACACACTACATCATCACTGTACACAGTTAACACACTACAGCATCACTCCACACAATAACACACTACAGCCTCACTCCACACAATAACACACTACAGCCTCACTCCACACAATAACACACTACAGCATCACTGTACACAATAACACACTACAGCATCACTCCACACAATAACACACTACAGCATCACTGTACACAAGTTAACACACTACAGCATCACTGTACACAATAACACACTACAGCATCACTCCACACAATAACACACTACAGCCTCACTCCACACAATAACACACTACAGCATCACTCCACACAATAACACACTACAGCCTCACTCCACACAATAACACACTACAGCATTACTCCACACAATAACACACTACAGCCTCACTGTACACAAGTTAACACACTACAGCATCACTCCACACAAGTTAACACACTACAGCATCACTCCACACAAGTTAACACACTACAGCATCACTCCACACAAGTTAACACACTACAGCATCACTGTACACAATAACACACTACAGCATCACTCCACACAAGTTAACACACTACAGCATCACTCCACACAATAACACACTACAGCATCACTGTACACAGTTAACACACTACAGCATCACTCCACACAATAACACACTACAGCATCACTCCACACAATAACACACTACAGCATCACTCCACACAATAACACACTACAGCATCACTCCACACAAGTTAACACACTACAGCCTCACTCCACACAAAACACACTACAGCCTCACTCCACACAAAACACACTACAGCATCACTCCACACAATAACACACTACAGCATCACTGTACACAATAACACACTACAGCATCACTCCACACAATAACACACTACAGCCTCACTCCACACAATAACACACTACAGCATCACTCCACACAATAACACACTACAGCCTCACTCCCCACAGTTAACACACTACAGCATCACTGTACACAATAACACACTACAACATCACTCCACACAATAACACACTACAGCATCACTCCCCACAGTTAACACACTACAGCATCACTGTACACAATAACACACTACAACATCACTCCACACAATAACACACTACAACATCACTCCACACAATAACACACTACAGCATCACTGTACACAATAACACACTACAACATCACTCCACACAATAACACACTACAGCATCACTGCACAGTTAACACACTGCAGCCTCACTCCACACAAAACACACTACAGCATCACTGTACACAAGTTAACACACTACAGCATCACTCCACACAATAACACACTACAGCTTCACTGTACACAAGGCTGCAAAGCCCAGGTGAGTGCTCTTTGACAATACTCTTAAATGACGAGTATTGGGGAGCTGGGGTGACAGTTTCTCATGCACTCCAGGTTTTCTCCAAACTCACTATGTAGCCAAGGACAACCCTAAATTCCCAACCTTCAGCCTCAAACCTCTAAGATATACCTAAGATAAACCTGGCTGACGTGGTGCTTGGGACCAAACCCGGGCCCATGAACATGTTAGGTAAACCTTCTTCCTAGATTTACCCCTGTGCTGCAGACCCAGATCTTTTGTTCTTTTTTTTTTTTTTGGTTTTTACGAGACAGGGTTTCTCTGTATTGTTTTAGAGGCTGTCGGTTCAGCCCAGCCTCGAACTCAGACATCCGCCTGCCTCTGCCTCCCGAGTGCTGGGGTTAAAGGCGTGCACCACCACCACCCAGCCTTTTGTTCATTTTTTGAGACTCAATTTGCTATCCTGCCCATGCTGACCTCAAATTCCTAGGTTCAAGTAATCCTATTGCCTCAGCTGAAACCTGATTCATTTAATAAATTCTTATAGTTCTAATTCAAATAATCAATGACAAAATAATCTTTCTTCTAATGGAATTATGCTTTTTTCTTGACAATTTGTTATCAGACTGATTCCTTTTGGAAAATTTTCGTGCTACAGAATTCAGACGCACTTTAATAAATCATGCTGTCGATTAGTAAAATGTTCTAAAAGTCTACTATGGTTTGGTGCAATGATTTGGTAGTTTGGATACTTAAAATTATATGCCCACTGATACATTCATTCACTCAGGACAACCATCAGACAAGCCTGTGTGTATACAGGTGAAGTAAAAGCAGTAAGGCATTCATTACAGGGGGGCCAAGACACTGCATGTTGTTAAGATTTAAATAATTCTTTCACATTATCTCAATATGTGAAAAATATTCTAAGATGTGAAAATCACATCTTTCAAAGAAGAGCATTTCATCTTTTTTTGCTGAGCCTTGGCGTTTGGTTTCACAAAGGCTGCCGAACGACGCTAGCTTCACGCTCGTACTTACAAGCACTTACACGTAGCTTGAATGTTTAGCTTCTAGAGCCCAGCTTCTACCTCATGACCCAGGGGTATCAGGTTTCAACTCACATTGTCTGAATCTTGGACACATACTTTTGCTCCTTATTAAATTGGACCTTTCCACTGAGTTTCTTTCTGCCACCACTGAGTCTCAGACGTGTTCTCCAGCTGTTGTTAAACATCACTGCAACACCAGACACGGATGAAAATGGGCATACAGCTATATTTCTCATTTACAAAATGTAGCAACTATACTAGATACCGGATGATCTATTCAGTA